CTGTATTATACTCTACTATATCACCTGATACGTATATGTGGATTATACTCTAGTATATCACCTGATTCGTATATGTGTATTATACTCTAGGATATCACCTGATACGTATATGTGTATTATACTCTAGTATCTCACCTGATACTGATACGTATATTTGTATTATACTCTAGTATCTCACCTGATTCGTATATGTGTATTATACTCTAGGATATCACCTGATACGTATATGTGTATTATACTCTAGTATCTCACCTGATACGTATATGTGTATTATACTCTACTATATCACCTGAGACGTATATGTGTATTATACTCTGGTATATCACCTGATTCGTATATGTGTATTATACTCTAGTATATCACCTGATACATATATGTGTATTATACTCTAGCATCTCACCTGATTCGTATATGTGTATTATACTCTAGTATCTCACCTGATACGTACATATGTGTATTATACTCTAGTATCTCACCTGATTCGTATATGTGTATTATACTCTAGTATATCACCTGATTCGTATATGTGTATTATACTCTAGTATATCACCTGATTCGTATATGTGTATTATACTCTAGTATCTCACCTGATTCGTATATGTGTATTATACTCTAGTATCTCACCTGATACATATGTGTGTATTATACTCTAGTATATCACCTGATTCGTATATGTGTATTATACTTTAGTATATCACCTGATACGTATATGTGTATTATACTCTAGTATATCACCTGATTCGTATATGTGTATTATATTCTATATTATATCACCTGATTGGTATATGTGTATTATACTCTAGTATATCACCTGATTCGTATATGTGTATTATACTCTAGTATATCACCTGATTCATATATTTGTATTATACTCTAGTATATCACCTGATTCGTATATGTGTATTATACTCTAGTATATCACCTGATTCGTATGTGTATTATACTCTAGTATCTCACCTGATAAATATGTGTGTATTATACTCTAGTATATCACCTGATTCGTATATGTGGATTATACTCTAGTATATCACCTGATTCGTATATGTGTATTATACTCTAGTATATCACCTGATTCGTATATGTGTATTATACTCTAGTATATCACCTGATTCGTATATGTGTATTATACCTAGTATATCACCTGATTAGATATCAGATATGTGTATTATACTCTAGTTATCTCACCTGATTCAGATATGTGTATTATACCTAGCATATCACCTGATCTCAGATATGTGTATTATACCTAGTATCTCACCTGATTCATATATGTGTATATTTGTATTATACTCTAGTATATCACCTGATTCATATATGTGTATTATACCTCTAGTATCTCACCTGATAATGATATGTGTATTATACTCTGGTATATCACCTGATTCATTACACTCCATATGTGTATTATACTCTAGTATATCACCCGATTGGTTATGTAGTATTATACTCTAGTATATCACCTGATCACCTCATATATGTGTATTATACTCTAGTATCTCACCTGATACATATGTGTATTATACTTATACTCTAGTATCTCACCTGATTCATATGTGTGTATTATACTCTAGTATCTCACCTGATTCATATATGTGTATTATACTCTAGTATCTCACCTGATTCATATGTGTGTATTATACTCTAGTATCTCACCTGATTCATATATGTGTATTATACTCTAGCATCTCACCTGATTCGTATATGTGTATTATACTCTAGTATCTCACCCTGATACATATATGTGTATTATACTCTAGTATCTCACCTGATAATGATGTCTGTATTATACTCTAGTATATCACCTGATTCAGATATATGTGTATTATACTCTAGTATCTCACCTGATCATGATATTATGTATTATATCACTACTATCTCACCTGATTAATTATATGTGTATTATACTCTAGTATATCACCTGATTCATATATGTGTATTATACCTAGTATATCACCTGATTAACATGTATATGCATTATACTCTAGTATCTCACCTGATAATGATATTTGCATTATACTTAGTATCTCACCTGATACATATATATGAGTATTATACTTCTAGTATCTCACCCTGATACATATGTGTATTATACTCTAGTATCTCACCTGATTCATATATTTGCATTATACTTCTAGTATATCATACCTGTATATCACCTGACATGCGTGTATGTATTATACCTGGTATATCACCTGATTCAGATATGTGTATTATACTCTAGTATCTCACCTGATTCATATATGTGTATTATACTCTAGTATATCACCTGATAATGCATGTGTATTATACTCTAGTATCTCACCTGATTCATATATGTGTATTATACTCTAGTATCTCACCTGATTCAGATATGTGCATTATACTCTAGTATCTCACCTGATTCATATATGTGTATTATACTCTAGTATATCACCTGATATCATATATGTGTATTATACTCTAGTATATCACCTGATACCTATGCATATGTGTATTATACTCTAGTATCTCACCTGATTCATATATGTGTATTATACTCTAGTATCTCACCTGATTCAGATATTTGTATTATACTCTGAGTATATCACCTGATCTCAGATATTTGTATTATACTCTAGTATCTCACCTGATTCAGATATGTGTATTATACTCTAGTATCTCACCTGATAATGATATGTGTATTATACTCTGGTATATCACCTGATTCAGATATTATGTATTATATGCTCTAAGTATATCACCTGATTCAGATATGTGTATTATACTCTAGTATATCACCTGATACATATGTGTGTATTATACTCTAGTAAATCTCACCTCTCTAGTATTCATATATGTGTATTATACTCTAGTATCTCACCTGATACATATGTGTGTATTATACTCTAGTATATCACCTGATACGTATGCATGTGTATATACTCTACTATATCACCTGATTCATATATGTGTATTATACTCTAGTATCTCACCTGATACATATGTGTGTATTATACTCTAGTATCTCACCTGATACATATATGTGTATTATACCTATGAATTGTAGCAATACAGCACCAAAGACAACAGTAGGACAAGAAAAAATCTATTTTGCTCACTATAGTTGCTGTTTTCATTGGTTCTCTTCAGAGCACAATGAAAGCTGGCAATATGTATCTCAAAAGCTGATCATGTTTTATGCTAATGTGCATGTTAAAAGCATTACCGTTTGTGGGTTAGATACATATGTATTTGTGAGTGTTGGCGGTAGTTGCGCTAAGCTAGCTGAAGGAAGCGCCAGTAAAATATACCAACAACCCCCACTCGCCGGCTTTGCAATGCCCAAAGAGTAATGCGCTTTCGGTAACATTTGGATCTTCTGCAGTTTGCATGGATTTTAAAACTTCATAGGTGACCTGTATTGAGGTGTTACGTGTATTTCCAGTATATATACCTGCTCTCGAGTGTAACAGTGTAAGCTGTGAAGTCACAAGTTCACTTGAGCCAATGTGAGAGTGAGTGAGTGAGTTTAGTTTTACGGCGCACACAGCAATATTCCAGCTATACAGCGGCGGTATGTAAATAATCGAGTCTGGACCAGACAATCCAGTGATCAACAGCATGAGCATTGATCTGCGCAATTGGGAACCAGTGACATGTGTCAACAAAGCTCAGCGTGAGAGAAACAGCATTATGGTTATTGGTACTTACTACAGAAATACAGAGTATGAGCGCTTCGTGTCAACATTTCAATTTGTCTGTTGTTGATATTTAAATGGAAAATTGAAACTCGTAGGCAATGCATCATCATAGTAAAGAGCATAACAATGTTATTCTTTCAGTCAAATGGCACAAGAGTTGTGTTTACTGACAGTTAGATATGAATCACGTCAGCTACATGTAGCGGCATGTAATGCAGATCAAGAGTATAACAATAGAAAAGGATCTCGTGAAAATAAAACAATGTCTTTGCTGCTTTTTGTATATATCTATTATTGATATTAGATCAATGGAAAAGTATGTTTTATTGTTAAAGAAAGACGTACATTTAAATTTGCATAATGTGAATCACAGTGAGCCTTGCAATTAGTTATGGCCACCAAATTTTATGTTTCTCTGACTGTTTGAACAAAGGGTTCTTCTGTTTTGAGATTCATGATACCCAAGAATATTTCTTAATCTAAGAAAATAGGTTTTATGATGAATTTATCGAAACTTAAAGACCTTCCAGTCGAAGGGCATTCGACTAGCAGTGATATGATTCATATTAACTAAAACTGCTACTACTTTCATCAGATATGTGACAGATACACTAGTCTAGATAGAACTAAAGCCAAGGAGCCCCATCGTTGCTTGGAACTATATTTACTAATACTGTTATTGTATTGTGTATCATGATCAACACATTAATGGTTACAGTAATGAAATTGCAAATGATGCCATACCCATCTAGTAGCAAACTCAGTGATAACTTATTGTTGCTTGATTGGAATTTTTACAAAAGTATTTGGACTTTATCTGCGTCCCTAGTGGATGCGCTTAATAAATGTTGTTAAGTCCCATTGTCAATTTTATGTGTATAGGATGCAGGAATTAGCGTCCTGTAAATCCCTGATGCCTAAAGCTCAATCTGTCATTTTCCCCGAGGCGTGGCATGTCGAACTTGTTCCAGAATGAAGAGTAAAGGTGTTTTTCTGACTTCTGCACTTCATAAAGAATGCATTGAGTGGAAATGATAAGCCTCTGGTTATCTGGCCTTTTAATGTGAACATTGGTGGCCATTTGTCTTGATTATGTCATGTTTCTTGCAAAATACATGTAATTAGAATAACAACTGCAGCTGTGTTTCTTTAACCAATTTAACACACATTTCCCCTGATTCAAATCCTAGTTCATACTAAAGAGTCCCAATGAACAAATCCCATGTAATAATAACTTTTCCCCCTTGAGTTTATCTTGAAGAAACCATTGAAAATTTTATTCTAATTGAGTTTGTTCTTATGAAATGTGATGTAATAAAGTATTTCATTCTTCACAGGGAACATCAGGATGGTGTACATGAGTATCAGTGTTGTGTTCCCATGACCAAAGGTCTACGAAATGGAGGATTTGAATACAAGTATAGAGTGAAACAGTACTCAAAAAAGGAAAGGAAATACAATAACCACTGGGAAACTGTACACTATATGAACAGGCAACACTTAGCAGGAAATGATCCAAATCGTCATTTCAACATTCCAGAACAAAAGAGAAAAGATGTGTGTAAGTATATGTGCATCATGTTACTTTTGGTGATGGTGAGTTGAACTTAATGTGTTTTTAGCTTAACTCCGGTGTAGCAGGTCATTTCTTCCCCAGTCTAGACTTTCCCTTGGTAGAACCTGGCTCAGGCCAAACTTTCCCACGGGGGAGTTTTGTCATAGGATATACTTATCCCAGGGAAAGTTTTGGCTGGGGTAAAGTTCTCTTTCCCTTTCCCCTACCCTAAAGGGGGAGAAAATTCTGGCCTGGCTAGGCCACTTCTTTTCCACCCTTGTTCTTATATGAAAAGGGGAGAACAAGTTATTACCAACATCAAACCGACAGTAGTGTTGACTTAATTTTTGGTACAAATTTTTGCCAAATATTCCATTCTTGCCTGTGACTTAGGTGTAGTGATTTGAATACATACATGCTTGAAAGGCATATATCTCTAAATCCGTCCTGCTCCTGTCTCCAATCCTATGAAGACATGTTCAATTAGTTCTTCATCTGCCCATCTGACAGTTGGATTGTTTCATTTTCATCTCCTGGACGTGTATCATTTCTGTACCTGTTCCAGCAGGTTGCACCTGGTGCAAGTAACTTTGTACTCTCAATAAGTTCTAGCTCATGACTATTTGATCATTATTGACATATTGGAAGATAAATGATGCAAACAATTCATACTTTGTTTCATGACAACATCTGCATCATTAACTGTATACACATACTTTTGATGCTTTGCTTTTACGCTTTTCTTTGCTTTTGAATCTCACCTTATATAAGGATATTGAACCAAAATGTGCACCATGTACATCTTATATATGAAGATGAAGATGACCTGTAAATTGTTAATGGAACTTGATATCAACATGAATATCTTATCAAAGTGTTCATGTAAATAGCTATGTCTTGTTTTCGTTTCTGACTTTTTCAATATTAACATAAACATGAAAACAAGCACTACAAAAATAAGTTGGTTTCCGGGAACACTGAAACTGAGAAGAAACGACATGGAAACCACCATTTCCAGTTGGTTTCCATGTAGTTTCCTATAGTTTCATTGTGGTTTCCATGAAAACTGAAACTGAATTTTGCACCATTTCCGGCTGGTTTCCAGTGAGATTCATTACCCACTCCTCCAAGCTGGATCCAGCTGGTTTCCGTGTTTTCGTTTATTGTAGGTTTCAACCTGGTTTCCGTGTTTTTTGTTTATTGTAGGTTTCAACCTGGTTTCCGTTTTTTCGTTTATTGTAGGTTTCAACCTGGTTTCCATGTTTTCGATTATTGTAGGTTTCAACCTGGTTTCCATGTTTTAGTTTGTTGTAGGTTTCAACCTGGTTTACATGTTTTAGTTAGTTGTAGGTTTCAACCTAGTTTCCAAGTTATAACCTAGTTTCCATTAAAACTGAAACTACATTTTGCACCAGTATCTGGATAGTATCCATGTCGGGACTTTGCCCACTCGTTCATGGAGGCTCTTGCTGGTGCTTAGTTTATTGTTGTTTCCAACCAAGTTCCCAGCTTATTACCTGGTTTCCATGAAACTGAATCTGTTGTGCTGGCCCCTTACCCGCTCCTCCAGAAAAGAGGTTGTGTTTCATGCAACACACATACCAAATCAGGTATTTCATACAATTGCACAATGGTAAAACCGTCAGGATAACAAATAACAGAATAAAACACAAAGTCATGATAGCTTTATTTACATTCAACAATTTGCTGATAAACAACTGATGTTTGGAATGTTCACATTAATAAAAACTGAATTTTCAAAGTGCATAAATAATTAAAAGTAATAAGGGAATAAATAGCAGTGAGTATGAGATGTTTTCTTAAACTCGTCAATGTAGATGAATCCATATTATTTGGTTTTCCAATTTGAGAAATGTTAACTCTTTCCCCAAGCGAGGAATAACTTTCTGTTTCTTCTCCGGCCAGTCAATCGTCAGGACCTTCCTCCTGCTTTCCAGCTTCTGAAAGTTAGAAAACAATAAACAATCAGTACAAACAAGCATTCGTCAACAATATCGCTAGCTGGAGAAAGGAAAACTGTCCAATGTTCCTTAAGCTTGAGGAAAAATAAACTGTAACCACTGTCCAATAAGAACGAAGTTCAATAAATCAAAACTGATCATTTGACCTGAAAAGTGACAAAAGTTTCAATAGCAGAAGAACTTAATGAAATTTGTAAGAGTAGAGAGACAAGCGAGAGAAGGACGTATTTCCTTAGCTTGGGTTGGACATTTGATGACTGACAAAAAAGATTTTCTTTCACTAAATAACAGTTGTGACTTATAGAAAACATTGACATTGAATTAATAACATTTCTTAGGAATGCACACTAAATTCATGCTATCATTGCCTATATTTCCGAGAAATTCTCATGTGAAAGCTATAACTTATTTTCTGAATGTTACATGCATTATGCTTTGATATTATATTATAGAACTATGAATTATCCATTATTCTGAAAATAATGTGAAAAGAAATATTTGGGTTTTAAAAAATAATAATGTGGGGTCATTCTGGCAGACAAGAAAGTGAATGGGGTCATAGGCGGACCTCCATAACTAATATCTCATACTGCTATTGACAATGTGTTTGCAGCTACTATTTAGTGGGGTATTGTTAATAAATTGTTAATTGATGTGTGCAAGGTGAAATATGTCCGGACCAAAACATAATGTACATTGGCGCTGTACTATGTACTATTTAAAACTCTTTTAGCTGCATATTTCTAATTATACATTGCACGTATTAAACAGTGTTTATTTTGTAAGTTCTTTGGAATATCAGTGTACATTTTCAAGAAATTACATTAACTTGATTTTTGTTCAAATAAGGTTTTTCTTAAATTTTAACCTGTGTTAGAATTGAGAACGGTTAGAATTTACTTACACATCTGAATCTTTTGTTGTTCTTTGCGGACAAAGGCATCTGCTTTCCCACTTCTTTGTCTTCTAGGTGAATGAACCCTCTTGTTCGTCCAAAACCGCCAAACTGCTTCTGAAAGGAGATGTGTATAGGTGGAAAATATTTCCAGTTGGAAGTTACGAAAATAGTGGTTGTGTAATTTTTATGTATTTTTCTGATTCATAGGATTTACATTATTTGGATAATTTTATGTACATCATTTACTGAAGGGTTTGGATTACACATACCTGTTGCAGGTCAAGATCAGTTAGTCATCTTCAGTTTTTCCAACACTGCCCCAATTGAATGCTGGAAATATAGAAATTAAGGGAAAAATCAGGAACTTTCTAAGTGATATTGTACTCTTGATAACAATAAGGCATGAAAATAGAAGAATAAATATCAATTTGCAAGGTGTAGATATGCTAATATCAAAAGAAGCAAAATTAACAAGTTCATATAATTTTTGACAATGGACATCAATGTATCCCCAACATATCCTATTAAACGTTCTATATATCCAACTTTCTTTGCAAACTTCTTTTGTGGATCTAACAAAATCCACATCTTTTCATTCAGAGTTAAATATCTTCACATTCTAAGTGTAAAATTGTTTACATCAGATGATTACCTCATACATCAGTAATCTATCCTATACTGACTTGAAAACCTTTTAAAAAACTGTTTCCAAAAATATTGTGTTGACAATTTATCCACTCAACAGCATTATAGTATCATGATGAATATCGTCTTAAAAGTTGGCTGAAAAATATTGTCGATTTTTTTTGTCATAGGCTGTCTTGTAACTCTAATAACTAGACAAAGAATTTTGAAACTTCACTCTAACCATGCACCAAATCTGGTCAGAGAATTCCTATAAATGCAAAATGGCTCACTATCCCCCACTGAATTGTTTTCAGTGGTACAAATATCAAAAGCAATTTTCATTAATTTCAATAACAAGCTTTAAAATAGAACTTCCAATCATTGGATTTCTTGCAATAACATTCGAATACTTCTAAATACGTTTGGAAGTTATCTTGAGTCGTGACATTGCTGGATATATTTGTGGTTCATATTGTTCTTGCAAAGACAATATTTCATACATTACGATAATGAACCATTTAGTCATATGTGACCTGATCCAAATCACAATCGAGTTCTTGAGTTGACTAAGTAAAGGAAGCCATATCTCTTGCCAACATTTCGACACGCAATTGCTTATCGAGTTCCATCAAGTCTATAACTTTAATTTCATATTTATTGTCCTAGCTACTTATGTACATTAAACGCGTTACACATAACATGAGCTATTGCTTAATTCAAGAAATTTACACTATACCTGACATGGTCGGAATGTTCCCTTTCTCCTCATCGATCGACGACTGCTCCTGTTTTCAAGTTTTCACGCATGCTGAGCCTCCAAAGCTTCTAGTGTAACTCGTGATTGCCATTTTCTTGATTCAGATAACATGGACAAGTGAAGGAACAATTCATTGTGCTAGGTTCCTTGTTGTGTTAAAAACGGGAGACACTTTGGTCCACTTTCAAGACAACTTCTCATGAGTTCAAGTGACAAAATGGCGGCAATTGTGTGTAGGGGCATTGTGGGTAATAACAAATACCTAATCCCTTTTCGATTGGCAGGTATGAAAACATTATCTGACCAAATTTGGTTGTGATTTCAAGACATAAAAGACGAAAATGACCACTTCAGTACATAAAACATTGCTTTTATAAAATGTGACGAAGTTAAGCTACAAGGCCCACGGATTACCGACTCATTACTTCTACATCAATTCAATTTTGATAATAGGTGCCCGTTAAGATGAGACAACCCCAAGGAAGCCGACACACAGGCCCCGACATACAAATGACATGACACTGATTGTTTGTCAAGTACTTAAACTCACTGTCAAAGCTTATACTAACTTTAAATGCTTTTAATGGTAAACATTACTCACAACCTCAATTCATAGTACAATTCCCTGATATTCTAGTTATTGAGAAATCCGTAATGTATGTACCGGATTGACAATTGTTTCAATTACATTATACTAAACTTCCTAAATGCTTATACTCTTTCACATTCTAAAGCAAAAATAATGAAACCGAGTTTTCCCTCAAATTTCACTTTTTGACGTTTAAGCTTTTTCATTACTACAGTGAAAATTGTTACTCATCGTAGAATATCATCCATCTATTTAGATTTTCAAAATTCCCCATGATATGAAATGACGATAAATAATTGGTATTTAATAACAATTAAGATTGTAATAAATGATAAAATTTGATAACTGAGGATTGTTCATCTAAGCTTGTCAGACTTCACAGTTATTGTCGAACACAAGTGAAACACTTCATGTGTCATATATATCAAAATTATAACAGTATAGTGATTTGGTGTCCCACATGAATATCAATTCTTTCCACACACTCAACATCTTGGTTCAACAAAAACAGGTAAATATAAAGTTGACCAATGCGTCAACAACTATTTGGGGTAACCTTTCTTCTTGTTCATCTAAGCAATCTTACAAATTACGTACTCTTTCAAATGTAAATCTGCTGTTCCTTCCCCGGGCATATTCATTTTGAATTTTAAGACCTCATAATTATTCTACGCAATTACTGATAATGTAATATGATATGAAAGTAGTTAATCTTCGAAACTAAGTTTCAGGAATGGAAACCAACAGTATACACATGACCATAGTTTCTTGTTGGTTTCCATTACCGGAACTATAAGTTTACAGTATCCATTATGGATTCTATTAGGAAACTAGGTTACCCAGTTTCAATGAATGGATACCAACTGGATGCCAGGATGGTCAACTTCATGCCAAATACTTGCAGTTACTCAGTTCAAAACAGTGGACAGGAAACCAACATGAAACTACATTTTCTGGTTTTATGTTGGTTTCCATTTCATGAAACCTTCAATTGCAAATTCCAGGAATGGAAACCAACAAGAAACCTATAACCTTAGTTTCTTGTTGGTTTCCATTTACTGAAATGCAAAAATCAAAGAATCCAAAATGGAATCTAGTTGGAAACTCAGTTACTCAGTTTCAGTGAATGGAAACCAACTGGATTCCCCATTTACCCAGTATACGGATGGTTTCCAGATTTCAGGAAACCAAGTCATTTTTGTAGTGAAGGTTGGGGAAGAAATAGCCCCCTTTTGATGTAAGAACAAGGATGGGAAAGAAGTAGCCTTTAAAGTTGATTCAAGGGTGGGGAAAGTTTGGCCTAGGACAAACTTTCCATCGGGAAGATTAAGCCTAGGGGGTGAAAGTTTGGCCTGGGTGAAAGTTTCAATGGGGAAGGTTTGGCCAGAGAGAAAGTTTGGCCTGTTACAGTATGTGGTATTCATTCTAAACAATTGGACATTGATTAAGCAACACCCATATTTTTTCTGACTCCGCAACTTTAATGAAGTGGTGCATAAAATGTGTCAAAGATTTTCATATGAATTTTGTAGTGAAAAGACAGGGTTGAGGAGAAATAGAGCCAAGGTTACCTTGACATAATGTGGTTTATTTGAAGATGGTACAGATTTGGAAAACAATGTCATTTCATGCAAAAACATCACGAATTTAATTTTTCTTGCACAGGCTTAACTGTCAGTTCCATACACACATCTTGTTCAGGTATTGAAGAATACCATCTTGCATGTCCAAATACTGACTTTCCATCAGTATCTTGTGTAACCTCTCTGCACACGAACAACTGATTCAAGATGCATCCTCATTGCTTGGATCAATATCTGGATTTGACTCTGAAAAATCCTGTTCAATTCCTCATGCAAAATAGCAATCAATTCATTTAGAGCCTGGACAGGTGTGTCTCTTTGTTGAATATGATGGCCTAAAATGTACCACAGATGTTCAATGGTATTGAGACCTGGTAATGAAAATGTGGGAAAACAGCCATATCAATGATCTTCTGTTGATACTGAAGCCCATTGAGGATACCATGAATGGTAATGAGGTCCATCTTGCAACCTAATTAAATGCATCCCCATACCATGATTTACCCTCCCCCCTGTAGGGAACTGTGTCCTAGATATTTTGGGAGACCATAGACAGGCCAACGAAAGAAAACTTTCCCACTGTGCAGAAAAATGCTGTTTAGTCCACATTAATCATGGAAATAGCAACATAAACATAATACCTCACTACTGAAACTATAAAAACAGTAACTTTAAATCGCTAAAACTGGATAAAAAACCAAAGAACCTTCGATTTTGCGCATGCGCACATGGAAGAAGAAGTCTCAACCGCATGTTGACATTTTCCAGATTGGACAAAAGTTACATTCCCCTTTTAAAGTCTTTCTGTTGTGTTATCTGTTATCTGTATTATTCTGTTGCATTTATCATCATGATTATTATGTGCTCATTACTTTCCATGTGTATGAAATGACTGACAGCAATTATTTCGACATATTTAATACTTTTTCTATGCGAGGCGATTCACGGTTGCTCAGAAATTTGAAAGCGCATAATGCGCATGCGCATTAGAGTCAAAGTTTGCTGATATAAAAATGTTGCAGTTTCATAGTCTTTAGTTGCCGTTTTTACTGTTTCAGTAGCCAGGTCATATGTTTATGCTGCTCATTCCACGATTAATGTGCACTTATCTGCGTTTTTCTGCACAGTGGGAAAGTTTTCTTTGGTAGGCCTGACAGATGTGCTCTTTTGTCTTCAGACACGTATACCCTCCGTCGTTATACAGTGTTCAAGTTAACACATTGATTGCATCAGGCAAGTCGTGCTGCTTTGTGAGCTGGAGATGGGTTTTCTGGCCCTGTATCTCATGAGTCCGATTTGCCTAACAAGTCGCAGCAATGCTGTATTTCCTCTTAATGTTGTCTTACAGGGTCTGCCAGGCCTTGGAAGATCTTGAACATCATTGGTAGCCCTGTGTTTGTTCAAGAGTCTTCAAATAAAGGAAGGATTGTGCCCAACTTGATGTCCAGTTTGTCTGAGGGACATTTCTGCATTTCTCATGCCAACTATTTGCCTCTCACAATTTACTACATGCCATTACAATTATGGTACTGAATATTCAGTCCAAATGGAAAGGAGGGAGTGTGACATGTTATGAGTAAAAACTTGATTTCAACAATATTGGGGACGTGATATTTCACACGCTTTGCACGCTGTTGCACATGCATTGAATATCCATTAAAAATCATGCTATGCTGCACGATGCATAATGTTAATAGATCATTCAGAAAAGTGTTCTCTTTTCTTAATTCATAGAATTATGGGTCTGTAAATTAGGTGTTGCTTAATTAATTTCCATATGTATATAATTTTGCATTTATAACTAACCAGTCATCTTCAGTCAGACCCTCAGTTACCTTTTGACTTCCTCCCTGAATTGTCGGAAGTGATTGGCCTTAAAGTGTGCAAGAATGTTCAACATCATTATTGGTTTTGTTTGGGTGATATTGTATATGTGTAAAGGTAAAACTTACCAAGAAACCATCTTTTTCTTTCATGAACACATTTGAATAATAATGTGTTGCAATACACAATATCATTGATTTCATGGCCCTCTTATGTAAGAAGATTCTCCTTAAACAATCGTTGATTGCACATTTGTTTTTGTTCAAAAGCCAATGAAATTTGGTATATATTTGGATAGTATTAAGGCCCCCATGTCTTTCTCTTAAATTTAAAGTTTCAAAGTTTTAACCATGCTCTTGCTTTTTTCATCATTTTCTTGTCATTGTACAAGACTTCTCTTCTGAATTTCCCAGATTCAGAATACTGAACTTTAACATGTTATTGTTTCTTCATGATGACTTTGTATACTTTCAAAATAGAATTTGTTGTTCATGTTCTCACTATTTATGCATAAAATCAGTATCAAAACTTGACTGAGGCTTTTGATAAGTGTCTGACATTTCAACTTGGTGAAAACAATCATGTAATTAAATGTTTTCAATGTGGATTTTGCCTTTGGTTAACAAAGTGTTGGAATATCAAAGAATATGGTAATAAACAAACTCTTAAAAACAAACAACCTGAATATCCTAATATTTGATGTATTCCTTCTTCAGCACCATGGCATCAATATGATGGATTTGTATATCCAAAGATGTCAGAGAACATTGTGAAAAGATTATGGTCCAAAGCTTTTGGAGGTGGCCTTCAAGGCAGAATACGTCATGATGTCATGTTTGCAGGAGAATTATTCCTACCATCTGCAAAATCAATTTTGACAAGGTTGATACAGAGGGAATCTGGAGAGTCGAGTGTTATTGAAGAATACTTGGATAAGATTGGCATGACATATACTGGATTGTCAATTCAAATGGTAGACAAAAACATGGCTTATTTGGACAAAGAACTATCTCTGCAGGTAGGTCAGTTTATTAAGCAGATGTTAATGGTAATACATTAAGGGCATCTTAATTTGACTGCTGACATGTTTTGTCTTGAAACAAAACAGTGATAGGACATCTGAGGGGTAAATTTATATTACTTTCCTTTAGAGCTTGATTTCCTTTATGACAAATTGATCACTCAAAGGCCAAGATTACCCCAAAAGTCATAACCTGAAAATAGTTTGTTTCGAAGAATTGAGGAGCATTTGTCATAAATGTAGCTTAGGAAATGTCCTCCTCATAGTTTGGCATGAAATGCATGTGGACCCGTTTTTTTGTAAATATCTCTTCATCCAATGATCCAATCGATCTCAAACTGTGCAAGTGGATGTTTTGTCAGACAACCTAATCACTTTGTAAATCACCGATTTTATGCATTTGTAGTAAAGAATCTGTCTCTGTAACTGTCAACAAAATAAACAGCAGAAAGCAGACGGCTTGCAGAGGGAGGGAGCCAATGACCTGTAACAGTGGCAGTGTTGGGTCATTAAGGTCAACGTTCGTCAATGTAGGTGAGCTATGCACGTGACAGGTATGAAGAGGTGGCACAGGTCGTGAATAGGGTAAGGTGGGTGCCAACTGTTAACCATTATACGGAGTTTGTTTCTCTGAGTTGTTCAACATGAACCACAAAACCCATTAGTGAGAATTATTCTGTAGGTTAAAATCTTTAAATTTGTAATGTTAATGTCATATTTTGTTTATGCAGTACCGAAGTGGAAATGCATTTAAAGAACACAGAAAGTATACTTACACTAAATCATTAATCGGACCACCTATGGTGAGAACTTAACAACTGTTAAAGCCCCGTTCCCTCGGACACAAGCACACACAATCATGCACACTCATTGAAGAAAAGATAGAATGAAGACAAAAGTTTTATCTTTTGATGTCGTTCACATTCCAAATGAAGCAATGCATTTCTAATAGCTTTAAGCATATAGATAGTTAATATTTATATTTTCATGATAATTTTATGTGAAATGAGTGTTTCATGTTACACTATAAGTCGTTGGAATTAGTCAGTGCTGTCATTGTTAAAAGAAGTTATATTTCTTTGAGCATATCTGACTGGATACTATTATTATCTGTAAATATAATAACAGAATTAAACTTCATCAAGGTCACTCCATTCTTCCACAGAGGAGTCATCAGTGTCCAGACGAATGACAACTGGATTAACTGTTTGCTCCTTCAAGCCATCTTTGAGCCAGTACTCTTTCTCCACCTTCTTGACATGTTCAACACATGCATGCCAGCGTGCAATGTCAATGTCACATATAGCAGTGTTGAGAATGTGCTTGACATCATTCAACTTGTATGATTGATTTTTCGGGGCCACTGTACTTTTAAGGTCTCCCCAGATTAGTTCGATTGGGTTGAGATCACAGTGATACGGTGGTAATCTCAAGACCTTATGGCCGTGTTGGCGTAGCATGTTGTCAATGTTATATGTGGGTGGAGGTTTATTAGGTTCAATGAAAGAGTACAACTGTGGTTTAGTGGCCTTAATTGAAAATTGTGTAGTGTTATTTGTTAGCCATTGCTGCATATCTGACTTCTTTGTATTGGAAGTTGGGCACCTATTGTTTGGATCTCGAACACTGTGATAGGGAGCATTGTCCATGACAACAAGACTTTTGTAAGGCAGAGCTGGCAACAATTGTTCCTCAACATACTGTGTGAAAACCATTGAGTTCATTTCTGTATGATAGTCCCTACCATCTGTGCTCTTTGACCGAAATACCAGATCACACCCAGGTAGGAATCCACGGTGGGAACCAGCATGAAGAACGATTAAACGTTCACCTTTGCCTGTTGGTATTTTCCTACCATCACTGGGATCAGTGGGTAGCCACTGTCTGGCAGCAGTATGGTTTGCATTGACCCAGGTCTCATCCAGTTATATAGGTTCGAACCCATCCTCTCTTGCCTGCTTAATTGCTCTCAGATAGTTACACCTTATTTTCACAATATCAGATCTCTCACACATTACAAGTTTCTGGTTTGCTACCTTCTTGTAATTGTATCGAAATTTGAGCAGTAGTTTGCTTAGCATAAACCTAGAAACATTAATGTCATGATCCTCTGCAAGGATGTGTTTTAACTTTCTTGTGGACAGGTGTTCATTTGTAGCAAATAGCCGGCGAATGACATCTCTGATGACCCTGATGTCAAAAGAATCTAACTTTGGATGCCTACCTTTTTGTACAAGGTTTTGTTTATTGGTTGTTGGTTTATTTTTCACAATTTTTAGCACAATGTTCTTTTTCATGCCAAGAGCAAAAGTTGTACGTTTCATGTAATCCGACACCTTATAAATTGGTTTACTACGTTTGCTCTCTTTTTAAAAAAAATTCAACACATTTCTAATTAAACATTTAGCATCATCTGAATAAGCTTTCATGATGACAGCTAGAAGTAGTCAATGTGAATGATCCAAACGGTCTATCACTGTGCAGTGCACAGGTAACTATCATGAATTGCACATGCATTGACCTTTATGACCCAACACTGCCGCTGTTACAGGTCATTGGCTCCCTCCCTCTGCAAGCCGTCTGCGTTCTGCTGTTTATTTTGTTGACAGTTACATAGACAGATTCTTTACTACAAATGCATAAAATCGGTGATTTACAATGTGATTAGGTTGTCTGACAAAAAAATCCACTTGCACAGTTTGAGATCGATTGGATCATTGGATGAAGAGATATTTACAAAAAAACGGGTCCACATGCATTTCATGCCAAACTATAGGTTGGGCTGCAATAGTTAAGGTAACGTCATGTTTGCAATTTTTAACTAAAATGCGTTTCCTAGCTGATATAATTTTCATTTCTGGTGCATAAATTTGTTATATGAATTGGATACTGATACCATATATCCAAAGTGAACAACGCACACATCAGCATACCGTTCACCTTGCCGTTCTTACTCCTTTGCCCTGCCATCTGAGCTGTCCAGATGAAATCCTGACTCGTCAGTGAACAAAACACAATCCCAATCTTGTCTCCTGTACTGTAAATGTTGTTTGATTTGATGTAAGCCAGGAATGGTCCTGGCAGTCAAACAGTCAGTCATGTATTGATTCCAAAGATGGATCAGCCGAATGTGGTCATGCTGATGTGACATCATGTGTGGACAGCTGGTCTGAGGCAAATCTCTCGTGTTCCCATAATGTTGAAAACGTCTCCACAGAGATGAGATCATGTTTCAATGAACCCCAAAATGTCTGACCACTTCATTTTGGGCCATTCCAGTCTCCAGCAATTGGAGACTCTGTGGCATGACATACATGCAGTTTAAGCTGAAATTCAGAGGTTGCAGAATAAACAGTTCTTAAATTTTCAATATCAGGTTATATCCATAACAGCGTTTCTAAATTGTGCTTGTTATAAGTGGCTATTACTTGAATATTGAGTGGTTACTTTTGATCAGCATGCTTATAATATCTCTTACTAGTTTGTTCTTGACTTCAACTATTTACAGACTGTCATGATAAAGCTGTATTAATTTTATGGTGTTATATATAAGGAAATACATTAAAAAATATATTTCAAAACAAGAAAAGCATACAAGTATTGGTTTTAAAACAAAAAAACTGTTATGTATTTCCTGCTTCGACCTGTAATCGATATTGATAGGGAACATGCCAAGAATGACAGACAAATCTGACCTTCATTATTTAGTCAGCCATACATTTTCTGCATGTGCACGTGATGGCATTATTATGACAAACATGATGGCTCGAAATAGAGGAAAAACCTATTGATGGACATAATACTAACTGCATTTAAGTTTTGGTATCTGAATAAAAGTGAGCCTCTTCAGCCTTAGTATACAGGTATGTGTGAAATATTCTGGATATACCACAGCAAGTGATGCCAATTTCAACTGCTCTTCACACATTGGTCCCATGGATAACATAAAAAATGTCAAGCTCTATTACTTTTCATTATATTGATTTTATAGGCCCCCTTCTCCACCTGTATAGTATATGTGATCAGTGTTGAACACTATTTGGTCAAAATACTGTTTTGATAATCACTTGAATAAGACAATATTAGTTCATGACTTACCTTTTTCTATAATGCATTACTATTGCAATCACATAACTACATTTGTCTTTTGTAGATGTTCCAAAACGTCATAGATCCTCTGATGGACCATCTTGTGAAGATTGAAAAGAATTTTGCAGCTTCCCTTGTGCTTAGTGTTTTTATTCTGTCTGCACACAGTGAAAACAAAATTCCTTTCAAAGCTGCAGGTCTGAATAGGGATTTTCTCAAGATTTTGATGATGAAGCCAGATTCACAGCAGAATACTGTTGAAGGCTTTGAAGCTTTAAGGACACACTTCCCAAAGAGGTCTTCAAAGTAAGTAATTGAAAGTTCCTTTTGTGATATTGATAATTTTGATGCTGTCTATGTCATGAGTGACTTATGTCTACCCTCAATAATAGTCAAACTTTAAAGCATACAATTTCCAAATGAAAGTATTCTGTCCAATCCAACTCAGAGAATCATGGCAAATACCTCAGTGTTCAATAGGAAACTGTCATAAGAGGGGGTATGATCATTTTAGCCATTAAAGAACCAATAAACTTTGTTTTTTGTTACTCTTTTAACCATTACATATGAAAGATTTGTGGTTAGTCTTATGCGGAACACCAAATTTATTCTTTAAAAACTTGTGGTTAATTAATACCGAGCGATTAAAAGTGGCCAAAAAGTCGCCTGCTTCCCTTTCGCCCGCCAACGAAACCACAGACAGGTTACGTAACTCTGTCGCCAGAGCACTGCAGTGGCGTCATATGAGGAACGATTTTCAGTTAGTTGTATAGAAAATGTGTAGCGCTCATAATTTTGATGATTTCTCGACATCAACGGCGACATGCCGAATCGTTGCTTTGTAGATCGTCAATTGCTCCTAGGGGTTGGGTGATGGTGTCCCCATGCACAGATTTCCACAGGACCCGCGTTAAGTGCTAAATGGGTTATGTTTGTGAGTCCGGCGGCGTTGTGGAAGCCTGAAACGATATCTTACTTGTGTTCAGATCGCTTCATGGAAGTTAAAGAATCAAAAGTACTTACTAGTTGTAGTAAAATATGCATATGATTGATGACCATAAAGATTTTCTATGACACAACTTGTAACATAACGATTTCTTCCTCGGAAGTGAGGTTGTGGTTGAAGTAACAATAATATTGTAAGTAGTATTATATTGACACCCACCTCGCTGCCATACGAGAAAATTGTTATGATATACGCTTATGTCATGCAAAATCCTATTGGCCATCAATAAAATACATATTTTACTACCAATAGAAAGTAGTTTTGATTTTATAACTTGCGTGAAAACAAACCTAAATACCATTTATCCTCAGACTGGCGGATGTTCCCGACAGGGTAGCGCCATTTTAAAAATAAAACAATCTGTTAGAATTAATGAGATTATAGTTTGTTTTCATCAAGTTAGAAAATCAAGACTACTTTCTACTCAGTAGTTAAATATGTATTGGAATCAAAACCAAACGGATTTTGCATGACACAACTTATAACATAACGATTTCTTCCACGGAAGCGAGGTGGGGTCGGTCACAATACTGCGCGATAAATTTCTTGCTACATTCCCATGGTTAATGTCCACTCACCAGTATGTAGATACTAGTCAATGTGCGCTCTTTATATTTGGTCTTATAATCCTAATTAGTTTATTATCACACTTGTATGCATTTTGAAACTAAATAAAAAGCAGACGATCTGCTGATACTTATAGTGAATTTATAACAGAACTGTAATAGCTAGACATTTTATAGTTTGCCAATGTGAATCATAATTCGCACACACCCCTCCCTAGTGCATGTTGTCTGTCTCATTACACTTCACGGCAAAAACAATGATTCTGTTGAATGCTACGACAAATGAATAAAAACAAAATGCAAATATTAAAATTAAAACAGATTAAAGTTATAGGAACAATATCAGGCCATTACCTTGTTCGAGGAATGTATCCATCAATATCCACAAAACTGTTCCAAATGATGTGTCTTTTAACAGTTTAATATACGAAAAAAGAGTGATAAATCTTTTCAGGTATTGGTGTATAGTCTCATTGGTCACCCAAGATAGCACACCTGGCAACTAATTGCATAATGTCCGCCTTTCTTTAAAACAGTAATTTAGTTAGCCAATAATGGGCAATCAATCAATGTATTGCCGGTTAATCCTTTGAAAAGAAGGGCGTTGTTTTTCACGCAGACACCGTAGCGACAGAGTGTATTCAGTATAGATTAGTAAATCTACATACATAAACATACCTTTTGAAAATTCCGCTGTGTAATATAAAAGTAATTAATCAATCAGCGTGTTACCGGTTAATCCTTTGATCGATGTTTATAATGTTGAATATTTACTCCAGACACAAGAAATGCCAAATGGGAACCTTTGTCGGGTAATCTAAGTGTGTTACCACTAATTATACCTGTTATAAATTCATTAACTGACCATCAAGTGAATGATGACAAATAACATGTGTAGGTTTATACCAACCTAACACGGGTTACAACAAGGGGGTATTAATTGCTGTATTGCATGTGAAAACTTATGGGCCGACACTGTTTTGAGAATACAAACAGATTTTTACATGACATGATTAAATATCGAGGTAAAAAACACAGAAATGGGATCAATTTGGATCAGTCATTATACAAATAGGGCCTAACGACACCAATCGATTTTGACAGAATCGTCTATGAAAACAAGTTGTAACTCGGAAACTAGGCAAAGCAGAAGACAAAATTAAATGACAGTAGATTGTGAGAACATATAGCTTTCATTTTCCACAACAATTGTCACGATTTCAGGTTTATACAAGCCTGTAAACAAGATAATTTACCCCCTAAAATGTAGATGAATTCTGCATCGGCCCTCAAAGCTATTCCTCATATGACGTCACAGAGGCGCGCCGCTCTGATTGGTTGAAATTTCGTTCGCGGGTGAGAATTGTGCACTGTTGTCAAAAAGGTCGATTTAAGTAAATTAAAGGTCGAAATGAGTAGTTTTAATGACGGGGTTTCATTTATAACGATGCCAGTTAGTGATTTATGTATTTGTACCCCCTAGGGTTTATGTGACCTTTAAGTATGCTCAATGAAGGGAAACAAGACTCCCAACTTTCTCAGGAAGCTATTTAGCACCAGTGTGAACTGAACAAACTGTACTTCGGACCAACTAGTGTGGACTTCAGTGACAACATATTTGATCAGATTATACTTACCAAAACTTTTCACCTCGCAAACTCTTATAGATGTATATACTCTTCAAAAAAAAGAAACTTGACATGCTGTTTCGGAGTTTATTTACTGCGTGCATATAACTGATTCAAACATGACATCATTGCTCAATTACAGTAAAATCATCACTTTACAAATTTCCAAAACATGATTATCCAGAAAGTGTTTGGTTTAAACCACCGAGGGCTATTAAAGCCACTTGGTCAGAGTAAAATGTCAGTATCTGGTGTGACCACCATAAACATCGATAACAGCTTGGCAGCAGCGGCCAATAGAAGAAAGGAGATGTCGAATGCTGTCTTGAGGAATGTTTTAATACTTTTGCTGAATTGCTGCATACAGTTCTTTTAGTCTCTGAGGTGGCAGATTACACTGGTGCAAGCATCGTTCCAGAGTATCCCATAGATGTCCAAATGGGGACAAATCGGGTGACCAAGAAGGATGATGGATACCTGCTCACACCATGACACTTCCACCACTAAATCTATCGACTGCTGTACACAGTTGTTGGCGTAATGTTCATTCCCACGTCTGTATACACATGAACATCCATCAGCACATCTGAGAAGAAACCGAGACTCATCTGAGAACAAGATTGTCCTCCATCTTGCCTGTGGCCATCTCACTCATTGTCTGCACTGTTGTAGACGTTCTGCTTGGTGACGTTGTCTCAAGACGTTACGTCAAACTGGTCTTCTGGCAAAAAGTCTGGCTTCCTTTTGCTGATTACGCACTGTCTGATCGGAGATTCAGTGCAATCCAGGAATTTGGGTTGTTGTGGATGTTGCAGTTGTGGTGTGTGAACAAAGATGTCTCAACCAGGTGTAGCGATCCTGGGCGGTTGTGGTAACTCCACATCGACCTGACCTGGGTTTGTTATTGACACTCCCAGTATTGTTGTATCAGGTGCATAGGTTTGTACATGGCCGATGTCATTATGTTGTTGAGCTTCTGTCAGTCTTGGCATTCTTTTGTCATCTATAGTGGCTTAAGGCAATGCATATGGAGTACCATTGATGTGTCTTTAAAGCCTACAGTCATAGGTTTCACATCAGGTTGATACACAATTTTGTGATACACGTGCGTTTCATGTAGTGTGCGTTTTAGCAATTCACTACAAACGTGAAGGTAACATTATGTTTTTGTTCAACGTTCCTCCACATGTTGGGATTCAGGATGGATTGGTTTGCATCAAATATTTTCAAATTTATATTGTTCCTATGTCAAGTTTCTTTTTTTGGAAGAGTATATGTTTAAATGTGTATGTACAGTTATGTACTTCAGTATACAGCAATTATGTGAACATATTTTTGCAACAATCAAGTTCAGTTAATGTACTCAAAACAGTAATAACCCTTACTTTATCAGGCAAATTGCATGTAATACAACACTTACTAATCTCTCATTGCCCTAGTTTTATCAACCCTCTTGACAATCAATCGAGGTTCATATAAACTTTATTCACAGAAAATGTATTTTATGAACAAGGAGTTATTTTATGAACAAGGAGTTCAGATACAGTGGAGTACACACACGCACACACGCACACACACATGCACATGCACACGCACGCACACACAAATTTTGAGACTGAGATTAATTGAGATTGATTGATTGTGTGCTTTTGATATTTCTTAGGAAACAAAATTCAATAATATACATATTCAGACTGAGAGGGCCCATACTGTGCAGTATCATAAAGTAGGAGTGTACCGATGGATCAGACTATCGATGTATTGCAATAGCTAAAGCCTCAATGGCAATTAATTAAACATAAACTACTGTCCATAGATCAATAGTATGTGTGACTATCCATATTTCAGAGAGTGTTTTGATAAACAAATGTGCAGCGTAACATAGCGGAAGGGCTTAGATTTGATGAGTTAAGCTAAGAGTTACCCATTATTTTTCTGTTGTTTTGAAAACCTATCTGTCATATATAAGTAGAAAAAGTTAAACCTCCAACAATACAATACTTTATCACAGAAAATGTATATTATGAACAAGGCGTTCAGATAGAGAGAGAGAGAGAGATCTTATAACAATTATTTCCAATAAAATGCAATGTTTTACTGTCAAACACTGCTTGACATTGCCAATGGAATCTGAAAGTTATACTGCTAGAAAAAAGTGTGAGATGTTATACCCCTTGCTTGAGGTGACCCCATTTCATACACCTCTTATTATATATTTCCTTTCAAAAGTTTAGACTCACGAGGTAAATATATCCTCTTACTTCAGGCGACTGTTCTAAACTAAATTTTGCAAAATATTCCATACTATTTAAAGGTACTGTTTGCACATGAACTGATGTATTGTAAAACAAATTTGTAATGTTAAAAAAGATTGTCATGAGTTCAATAAATGATAAAAAGTCAGTGAAAATTGGCCAATTCTTAACAAAGTTTTACACCAAAACGCAGCTGTTCACATGCAAAATATTTGCACATGCTTTTCAGCAATTTGATGCATGATCCTCGTGCAATTCATCTGCATAATGTTTGCAGTTGGTTCGCCCAAGTTAGTGGAGAACAATCTTTGATGTAACCATATATACAATGTATATGTATCCACATCATAAAGTGAATGTTTTAAGTGAGTCTAAACTTTTGGAAGGAAGTATATTTTCAAAAAAACATAGCCTTATAAACAGTGATATGTGCTTCCTTAAACCCCTGTGACATTTGAGTTTCTTTTGTGATTCTGTATACCGTAAGAGTTTAGTAATATGTGGGACAAACGTAAACAATAATTTGCTGGTAAATATCTTACAAAAGAGTATTATTTAATTGTGGTTAAATTATCATGTGACAATAATAAGTTCTCTTAGGAATGCATTCATTCTTATACAAGAAAGAAATACCTATATGGTAGGAAAAAGTGATGCTCTGATATTTCTGACTGTTATAGTTCTGAAAATTGTCGTACTGCCAATCGGTAAACATTGATAAAAGCTGAATGGAGAATATTCTTGATTAAATTAATCAGGGCATATTTTGCAAAAAGGATCAAAACACACAAAGCAAATATAGAGACTAAATAATATTATCAGTAGTACCTTATTAATTAAATGAGAAACACTAATAATGAAAGTAATACATGTAAGATGTTAATCAGTAGATGAGACACATACAACGCACATGAAAAAGCATAAAATATCTTCGAGATGATCCCTTGTGCTTGTATGCAGCACATGCATTTCATGCATCAATGGTCCGTCGTCATACGTAGCTGCACGACCTAATTGCCATCTATAGTCTGATCTATTGTTTTCAGCAGCTATTCGTATTTTTTCTAAGTTTTGCCAGATTTTACGAGTAAACATGCTTTTCTGGATATCCTATTACGCTTCCTACTGAACACTCAGTTAGGCTGATGTGGGTTATTTTTCGACATATGCTATTTGCAATTGTGTAAATTTTAGGGATACAGAGTAACAGCCTAAAAACATTTTTTTTCTATTTCCGACAATACTTTAGTACAGTTATTAACTAATGGTAGGTAGAAGTCTGTTCATATTATCTATCTGTTGGGCATTGATGCATGGTTAAGAACAATTATGGATGTCTTCATCCTCTCCAAGTACTTCCTCAGTTTGTTAATGTCTTATGTGACTGCCTTTGTCTTTCCTTCAGGACGTTTGCTGGAGCTGTTCTTAAAATGATGGAGGAAAATAGCTCAGTGACATACCACACCGTCTTTCATCCATACTTAAACACATACAAGGAATCACATGCAGATTCTTCATGGTTGTACTTTGTTCCACTGTTGCATTTTCTGAGAGAAGATTCAAAGCCAATGTTGAAATATTCAACAAAACACATTGATGATATGTGGTGGGGTATAAAAAGCATAGAGCAACACAAAGAAAAACTGAAGAATTGTGCCCAATGGACCATGTAAGTATTGTCCTACCATGATTTGGGGATACCATCAATTTTTACATCTTGAGTAAAAGAAATTACATGTGCATGACTTTGAAAATAATTACAGGGGTAAATTAAAAGGGTAACTTGGGGTGAATGAGGATCTCCTTAACTTCCCTGGTTCATCGAAGACTTCATCTCATCCAAAGAAGCTTGATTTGCCTTAACATCTAGAATGGTCATTGTGAAATCCCTGCTTTTGGTTTGAGTGGTTTCTGGCATCACCTCCACCTCCCAAGCCATTGTGTTGGGACAACATGCAAGCACTTATTCCCTCTATTATAACCAGTGGAAGATCTTTGAGAATTCCTGCAAGGTACTGGGTATTTCTTTCCCAAATGCAGGTCAGCACAAGTTGTTACATATCATAGCTACAACATCTTCACATTAAAAAAACCTGAAGATTTTTTCTCGCAGGCATTAACTCACAACTCTGTTGTGGCTACTGCAAAAGATAACAAGAATTCTAGAATGCCATAAATGCGAATGCTTCTTTTGTTAATAGCTGGTCAAGTGGGCCAAGTTTTGACTTCCAGCTTATGACCTTTGTGTGGTTCTTAGTCATCTTACGTCAGCATCGTTCTCTTACCTTGTGCTACAGTGGCAAGGTTTTTGAGTTTTGCAGGGTGTGTTTTTAGAGAAACTGGCATTGAAAGGTCTTCATATGTCTTTGTTGGGACTTTATCACCAAGAACCTGCCCAACCAGACAGACTGTTCACCATTCCACTGCTTTTATACATCCTTGGCCCAGATGATGTGGAAGATCTCTCATTCTGCCCACTCAGAGCCCTCATGATCTATCTCAAGGCGGTTTATTCTCATAAAGTCACCAACTTGGTAAAACCCTTATCCCTATTGGGTGACTTCGTGCGAATTTCGCTAAATAGTCAATTACTGCAATTACGGGACATAATAGTCAGATTAAATTTACTAATCCGCTTAGGACCAAAGGTGACTTTGGGGGAGACACAGATAATTGGAACTCTTGTCTGGTAGCAGCAGGTAGACCAAGGGTAACATCTGACCGACGTCTGTAACAGCATGGATGGTGTGCAGCTGGTGAAATATGTGAGGTGTCACATAAACGTACCATCTGCAAAGAAGGTGTCGGCTTGACACAACTTCTCCAAGTTGGATGTGGTGGCGAATCCCAGGATCTTGTCCTCATCCCCATCTTCAAATGCCAGGAACTGTTCCCCGCCTTCTGTTGTTTGGTACTGCTCAGGGATTACTAGGTCACGACGATGGGAAGGTAGAGGAGGAAATGACTTTTTCCTTGCTCTATACAGGGTGTCTTTCTTCATATGAAACGTAGGTAAGTTGCCAACAAGGGTGGCGTGTTCCGGTGTCCAGTCACCACCCCGCATACTCTCTACTTCTTCCTGGAACAGCTGCGGCAGAGTTCTGATCGTGGCCTTGGCTTTTCTTTTAGTGTCTCCATGGTCTCTCTCACCTTGATGTCGGTCTCCACTGGTGGGTGGTTGTGGTTCTGGGAGGGTCTGGTGAGGATATCACTGATGGTGGTCAAGGTCATATGGCAATCCTTGGTCGTACACTTCCATACTAAGGTTTCATCACGTTTCTTTTTGTTGACTCTGTACATGAAACCATCCGAACAAAGATATCTGCCGCCTCTCGAAGTTGGGATGAACTTTTGCATTTGCCATGGTAGGACTTAGTGACGAAAGTGGTCCGGACCATCTATGTATATTTGTCATAAAATTGTTGAACAGAGTTCACTAATAAATGTCATGTAATTTACAGCTCATTAGCGTCTCTCGCTCGAGTGACCAACTGACTAATCCGTTAATCCTGATTGGATTAGAAACTTCAAAGCAAAATCGCCAGTGACTTAGTGCGAATAGTGTTCCCCCTACTGGTGACTTCATGAGAAGACACCCTCAAGGCTTTGCAAGATCCAGAAAATGCTCTTCATTGTGTCTCCACTGTTCTCATCATCTATGCTGCAAGTCTCCAGAATTACTCACTGACTGACTGACTGAGTTTAGTTTTACGCCGCTTTTAGCAATATTCCAGCAATATCACTGCGGGGGACACCAGAAATGGGCTTAACACATTGTGCCCATGTGGGGGAATTACTATCTAATTATCCCCCCCCACAAAACGGAATGGGGACCTATGTAGTTAGCAACTTCTGTCTGTACGTCCTGATTCTTGTTGATTCGATATCTCATGAACAGTTGTACCCATTGTCTACGAATCTGGTGACAACCTATATTGAGAGATTATGCAGACACCAGTGGATTTGTGTGACCTTGACCTTATTTTCAAGGACACCACAACACTTTGACCACTTTTCAATCTCTCATGGACTGTTGTATCCAATATTTTCAAATTTGGTGACAGCCTACATTGGGGGTTATGCAAAAAAAACCAGTCAGTTTGGGTGACCTCGACCTTATGACCACTTTTCAAACTTATGTAAGCAAGATATCTCATAAAAAGTTGCACCCAATGTCTTCAATTATGTCGACAGCCTACATTGTGTGATTACACAGACACGAGTAATTTCAGGATGACCTTGACATTATTTTGAAGGTCACACATGACACTTTTCAAAATCTCACACATCTCAATACCCAGACCCGTTATAACCGTGAAATGGAATATGTTATAATACATGTGTGTGTGTGTGTGTGTGTGTGTGTGCGTGCGTGCGTGCGGTGTGCGTGCGTGTTTGTGAAGAGAGACGTGTACCCAGGTAGAAAATTTGGAACTGTCCCAGCCTTAATACACGCTGATACTGACAGTGGATATGTGCATCTATACATTCAAATCTACTATACTTTTCCTTATCCTGACGCATGCTATTTTGCTTGTCTTCTTCTTCTTGCGAACACAGTGGGACACTTGTATCTCCCAATTGAAGCTCCCTTCAATGTAAAATCACTAATTAGGACTCACCAAGAGTTATCTCTTTCCCAATCATTTCCATGGGAACGAGGGCGCCACTTCCCACCACATGCCTCACTCTCTCCTTCTTCGCCCAGTGAGCAGGATGTGAGAGCGCCTGTGTCTCCCTACACATTATATCCTTTGTTTATTCTTAGTTATTTACCTCTCAGACTTCTATAGAGGTGTAGCTAGTATCCTTCAACATAATGCATTGATATTTATTCGTGTTTCTACTGTTTTATTCACGGGACTCCGTGTTTGTTCAGTAGATTGCGTTGATGAAAATCTGCACTATTTGTAAATTACGTTTTTCTGCTGCTGACCCGCATTTAATATGCCCTAGTTGTACTACGCCATGCTCTACTGTTTCACGTTACAATTATTGTATTAATTTATCCAATTCTGCCTTTGATAAATATTTATTTTGCATCTTGAGACGCGCAGCAGATAGGTCACGTAAACAGATTTTAGCCATGGCTAATACACCAGAGCCCTTACCCTGTCAACTGTTGTCGGACGACCCCCTCCGGTCTGGTGTTCCGCTAGAGTTACCCTCGGAGGAGAGGCGTGGGACGCAGTCCGCTATCTCCAAGAAGCGACCTGCATCGACCTGGACCCTTTTTACAAGGCACAAGATATCGATTATAACTATAAGATGATCAGCGATGCCAAGTCCAAGACTTACAGAATAGATGACCGCAAGCTAGTCCAGATGGAAACCATGTCAAGGAGGATGTTTTTTGGTCTGAACAGATCAAAAACAGTCAACGAAACTCTCCTCACGAAGTTCAGAGACTCTACATCTGAGGATGACAGGATGATTTACTCGGCCCTCCTCATGCAGAAGAAGGACCAGCAGTTCCTTACGGATCACTTGACAGCACTATCCGCAGCTACAACTATGGCTCGTCGTCAAGGTCTCCTTGCCTCCTGTAACTGGGGTGATCACTTCACCGCATCACTCTACACAGCCCCGTGGTCTTCACCGTCCATCTTCGATGGTAACATAGACAAAGTCTCTAAAGAAGTCTCTAAAGACTCAAGAGAGGTACTCAAAGTCTATGGATACACTAGCAAGCGTCATCAGACAAACTTCGCAGAGGTACTCAGGCAAATCGAAGTTCTCCGGTCTACAGAAGGCATGGGACAGGAAGATGGCAAGTGTAAGAGGAGCAAAAGAGTCTTTTCGCTGCCCTTACGGCAATTACAGGGGAGGATCTGGTAGAGGCAGGTCATCCAGAGGCTCCCGCAACTATAAACGATGAAGGACAGGTTCGGAACGAATGGAGTCTTCCACCCCCACAACCATCACAAGTGGGTGGACGCCTTCAACTGCACTGGGAAAACTGGGGAATCCTAGAGGATCCATATGTCTCCAACATTCTACAGCACGGATATCGAATACAACTACAGGCCACGCCCCCGCTGACAGTCATCCCTCCGAGGCTCGACTTCCAGGCTTTACAACTACCAAAGTTAAGAGAAGCGGTATCAACGCTCCTAACCAAGCAGGCCATAGAAGTACTGGACCAAGTAAACATCGAACCAGGCTTCTACTCCCCAGTTTTCCTAGTGCCCAAGAAAAATTCCAAGGAAAAGTTTTGTCTCATCTACAATATGAGCACGTTCAACAGAGACTATCTACGCAAACCGCCAGCGTTTCGCATGATACACCTACCACAACTACGGCACTTAATTCGTCCCAGAGTCTACATGGCCAGCATAGATCTGCAAGACGCATATCTACACATCCCAATACATCCCGACTCCAGGAAATACCTTCGGTTTACACTAGACGGGCTGCATTACCAATGGAAAGTACTACCTTCCGGAATCTCATCGGCCCCCTGGTTATTCACAAGAATGACAAAACCTATCGTATCTTACCTACATCGTCAAGGACTACGCAGTGCATTCTACCTCGACGACGGGATACAAGTGGATCCAGATCCACAGCGTCTCAAACTACAGTTAAACTTCATCATCAAGCTACTAACACAGCTAGGATGGTTAGTAAATCTACTCAAGTCGGACCTAGAACCTACGCCAAGATCTGCAATTTCTAGGCATTCGATTTCTCACGGCGCAGAATCGTGATCGTCGTATCGAGGACCGATGGATCAAGATCCAACAGACAATCCCTCAAGCCTTACCCTCTCCGCTACCACTACGACAATGGCAGAGCCTGTCGGGTCTACTCACGTCAGCTCAAGACATGACAGTCAGAGGCAGACTACAGTTACGTCCGTTACAGGTCCTCATCAACTCTCATCTTGACGACCCTCAACCATTCAGTCTACCGAATCACGTCAAACCTTACCTACTATGGTGGACCAAGAGATCGAATGTTTGGGATGGAATCTGTTTAATAGAGCCGTATTGAAAACACATCTCTATGTAGACGCTGCGTTGCTCCAAGGTTGGGAGCACACCTCGCCAACAGGACGGCATCAGGGTTATGGAGCCAACAAGAGAGCAAACTACACATAAACTTGCTAGAAATGCAAGCAGTAGTAAACGCCATACATCATTGGTGTAACTTACTAAAGAATGCCAAATTGATGATTCACACAGACAATTCAACAGTGGCGTTTTATGTGAACAAACAAGGCTCAACCAGGTCCCCGAACCTATTGACTCTATGTTTTCATTTGTTCGATCTAGTCGACAATCTCAACATACATGTCAGAGCATGTCACGTTCCAGGAGCAAAGAATGTAATAGCAGACGGCTCTCTCGCCACACCTACCATCGCCGACAGAATGGATGCTCCATACAGAGATATTCGCACAAATTATCAAGAAAATAGGAGCTCCACTAATAGACCTATTTGCCACTCGCCTTCAACAATCAGCTGACAACATTCAGATCACCAGTCCCAGACCCACTAGCATGGACAATGGACACACTAAGCATATCGTGGAAGGACTCAACGCTGCACGCGCTGCCTCGCCCACCAGCGCTAATCCCACAGGTGTTACAGAAAATCAAGCAAACTCGAGCCTCCAAATGATTTTGGTCAATCCCTACTGGCCAGCGAACGTGGTTTCCAACTCTTATTCAAGAAATCGGACAACCAATACTACAACTTCCAAAGCGCTAGAATCTACTAATACATCCTCACACCAAACAAGCGCACGGAAAGCCAGAAGCATTCCAACTTCACTTATGGACTGTATTAAGGCGTGTCTAAACAAGAGAGGTTATTCAGCCAGAGCAGCGAATGCAGTCACGCTTGCATTACGCAACTCCACTCGCAACTTATACGATGACAAGTGGCACAGTTTTGAAAATTATGCTGCAAAGAAAGGATTTACAGCTAGAAATGCTACACATCCACAAGTGGCTGACCACTTATGTTACCTACGACAGACTAAACGTCTAAAAGGCTCAACATTATCAACATATCTCGCAGCTTTAAGCTCCGTCATAACTATGAGAACGGGTGTCAAGTTGACGAAGACCCCAGAGTTACTCACCTTACTACGTGCATTCCGATTGGAGGATCAGAAACGAAGGTTTCGCGCTCCAGCATGGGATCTAAATATAGTGCTACAACACCTCACAAGTGAGGCATATGAACCACTGGAATCAACATCATTCGAATTTCTGACACAGAAAACTTTGTTCCTGTTATCCCTAGCAACAGCAGCCAGGATGTCAGAGATTCACGCACTAGATTACGAGAGAACACGCTTTGATGACAATCATAACATCGTGCATATGGGACTACGCTGGGATTTCATCGCCAAGAACCAGTTGCCAGGTCAACCAGACAGATTATTCCACGTTCCAGCTCTCTCATCAATTCTCGGACCTCATGATACACTGGATCTATCATTATGCCCAGTCAGAGCACTGAAAATATATCTACGGCGATCCAAACGAGGCTGACAAAAACTCAAACGATTATTCATCCCTCTTCGACAGCTACACAGAATGAAGTCTCACGTTACAAGTATCTCGATATGGATCAGAACTGTCATACTACGCGCCTACAAGGCTGCAGGACTCGACCCTCCAAGAGCATCTAATCCACATGAAATTAGAGCTCTAGCTTCAACACTTGCTCTACACGGCAATTGCTCTTTGAATACCATCATGGAGGGCTGCTTCTGGAGATCCGATATGGTGTTTGCCAACCACTATCTGAGAGATATCACCACCGAGGACGTCTCAGGTATTCACCATTTTGGTCCCATGGTCCTCGCACAGCAGTTGACAGTCCCTCGAAGAAGATAAGTCAATCTTACGAGATTTTTACTGCTTATTTCACAACAGTATCCCTAGCAACAGCAGCCAGGATGTATATAGCTAATAACTCCATGAAGTTTATGCTATTATATATTTTAGCTTAAGTTCAATCACAATCTTAAGCTCAGTACTATGTTTATTATATCATAATAATATCATTAGCTAACAACTCTATGAAGTTTATGCTATTATATTATCAAGCTTAAGTCTTTCTTAGTCTTAGTCTTATTCATGTTGTAAATACTTTATTTATGTTTATCATAATATCTATATATTGTAGTAACCCATATATGGCATCTGATAAGTTTAACAGCAGTAATTTATCAATTCAGTGCCTGTATGAAGTTCCCATAGGGGTTATTACAATAATTACAGTTATCAAATCACTAATTATCTAAATCCAAAGTATTCTGTATTCCCACCTCCGTATCCGTAGGATTCTACAAGCAAAATAGCATGAGTCAGGATAAGGAAAAATATGTAATTTTCTGAATAAAATTGATATTTTATACTTATCCTGACTCATGAGGTAAGCCCTCCCATCCTCCCCACATAACACTTTGGATTTCCCTGAAAATTCAAGTGTTGGGCTCACTATATAAGGAGAGAGTGAGGCATGTGGCGGGAAGTGGCGCCCTTGTTCCCGCGCAAATGATTGGGAAAGAGATAACTCTTGGTGAGTACTAATTAGTGATTTTACATTGAAGGGAGCTTCAATTGGGAGATACAAGTGTTCCACTGTGTTCGCAAGAAGAAGAAGACAAGCAAAATAGCATGAGTCAGGATAAGTATAAAATATCAATTTTATTCAGAAAATTACATATTCTTGACATATCTTCAGAGTTAGGAGGGGCGGTGGGGTAGCCTAGTGGTTAAAGCATTGGCTCGTCATGCCAAAGACCCAGGTTTGAATCCCACATGGGTACATTGTGTGAAGCCCATTTCTGGTGTCCCCTGCCATGATGTTGCTGGAATATTGCTATATTGCTTAAAACATGCTGAAAAACATAACCAGTGCTTACTAATGATAGACATTGAAATCACAATGTTCCTCTCATGCACATATCTTAGAATAAGCAACAGCATAGTACTTTTGAAGTTTACAAATTTCATGAGTCAATTTCTCTGCCGTGTGTCTTTTGATTGCAAAGTGTTTTAGTGGCTAGCTTCTATACCTCACAGAAATTATCAAAACCTCATATTTGTTGATGTTGTGAATATATAATCAAACCAACTTCTTCTTTTCCAGATCTGAAGAAGAGGTATTCCGTGGTTTATCTCCTTACTTTGAAGCAGACTTCCTCCTCCCACGGACACTCATGGCTTGTGTATCTCTTCTGAATCTGAGAAAGGTTGTAGATCTACAAGTAATTCCACCTGAGATATGCACAGCAACTCTTTATTTCTACTGTGAAAGCTCAGGATCCTCTTTACCTCGTGAGACAAAGCAGGTAATTATATTTTATAGATTTACCACAAATAATTTAGATGAATCTTAGATAAAAACTAATAAATGTAAGCCAAATATTTAATTCCTCCTGTTTTTTATGGAGTCAGCAAGTTTCAAGGTGTTAAAGCAAAACTATTGCCCCTATTTTCAGATACTTTCATGCATTTTTGGGAAAGTGTTTTACATGATTGCAGGGTTTTTCTGAAACCATCGCACCACATTTATGTTACTGTGGGGCAATTTTGGCACTGCTATTGGGCTCCTATAGGTCCTGCTACCTAGCAATGTTTTTGACACATCTGGAGTTCTACATTCCTTGTTGCATCAATATTCATAGGTTTAGCATTCATGCATTTCCCATGGCATGCTAGTCTGCATTGTTTATGATCAAATTGTGAATTTTCACCTTTTGACAATTTCTTAGATACTGTATTTAGGCTGTAAATATTAGGTGATCAATAGAACAAACTGACACTCAATCATTGTGGCACTTCACGGAAATTCATAAGCAACTGCTGCTTTTTTCCTCAACCTGAATCTTTACAGTACTTCAGAGAGAGTAGAAACAGATCAGCTGGGTTGGTTGATAAAATCCCAGGTATGACTTGTTGCCTCACATTCAGCAGCACAGGTGTTTTCAGTGCAGCTCAATTTCATCCAAGTTCCACCCTCCTGGTTCAAGTCCATTTAAGCGGGAATCTAGAGAGCTCAGCCCTTTGTACCACATTGTTTGCATGTTTGAGGGTGGATATTGGGTCATCTGAAACATATCCATTGAATTTTTTAGAGAAAACCAGTTGAAAACAATTTATACAGTTTAAGCAAGATTTCTTTAATATGGTTTTTGAAAGGAAATGTGTGTTTTTCTTCTAATTTTTAGTATCTGAGAGAGTGCTTTTTGAGTGTGGCAAAACAATTCAAAGAAGTCTCAGGAAGGAGAGGCATGAAGAATCACAGGTACATACAACATTGCAAACTTGTGCTATAATTTCAGACACCACTACATAAAGGTCACTATGAGTTAATGATAATATTTTCATCCCCATCTGTGTTATTACCCAACTCAAATCATTTTATTGTTACCAAGCAAACAAAGAAATTTTGATGTAACTTAACTTCTTTCTTTACTTGATGAAATAACCAGTATAGTTAAACATACCAAACATACTTCATAAAATTCATGGAGATTTCATCAACATAAAGGCTCTTAACATTGAAATGGATAAGAAATTGTGTTAAAAACTAATACTTAAATTGCTGTGGATGATTTTAAACTTAAAAGATATAAATTGGTATTACAGGAAATTCTGTTATAGAGGATTCATCATGAGTGTTTCCCTTAATAAAACGCAAATGGTGAATCCTATTTATCATTCCTGCCAAAGTTGTTGAAGTTCAACATTACATTGTGACAAAGATTTAGAATTGTGGTGAAATACAGGATTTGTGGCAATGATGTTGTAGAGTAAGTATTCTTAGAGTCATTATGGATAATAACTATTGTTTGATGACTGTATAACTTAATACAGAGTGATATACAGTTCTAAGTGTAGGATATGCCACAACACACATTTTATATGCAACTACAGTTTGAAATTTCCATCAAATACATTAGTAGATTCCTTTTCTGTACATTTTATATTTTTGTTCATCTTGAGGTCTGTTTGATTACAGGGAAACAGAGCTGGATTGCACAGAGCACAGATATATGTGTGTGAAAATAGCAGCAGATCTTCTTGATGTTTGTTTGGCTGATACCTATCAGTCAACCCGATTACTGCTTGCTGCTGTTGATGTATTCACATCAAGTATCAGTGTGTGTCAATGTCACAATGAAAACAGTAACAATCCTGAGGGTAGAGTGGAAGAAGTCCACAATCTGGTGAATTGTTTGCTTGATGAAAAGATGAAACAGATCATTACCTGGATGGAAAACTACTCTTCCCGGATATCTACATCAAATATTGATTTGAACCACTGCATTAAAGTAAGTAAAGTATGTCAATATGTCGCGGGTCCTGGCCGCTGATTAATCGGACTGAGGCGTGGTTGATTAAAATCTGTTTATTCTGTAAAATACACATGAACATCAATATAATATGATGTATGGCCGAGGGGTGTATCAACTCACCTCGGCCTTGGCGTGACATGAAGTGCCAATATCAAGATCGCACGAATTTTACCATTTATAAAATGGTCTTTATAGCATTTTATGAAATATTGCACTTTGAATATTATGAGCAAAATTAAAGGAAGCAGACATCACTCACACTTACTTACGTGCTGGTGCCAGTGTTTAATTAGTAATTTAGCAACGCGATGCCTTATTATAGAAATATTATAGATATTATAAATACTATGATATCGCTGCGCACCTTTACGATAATACGTTTAGAGGATGACAAAGAAAGTAGACAGAAAAGGTACATACCTGTAAAATACACATGAACATCAATATAATATGATGTATGGCGAGGGGTGTATCAACTCACCTCGCCGTGGCGTGACATGAAGTGGCAAATATGAAGATGCCTACGTCCACGGAACAGGTAATGCATGAGATGTCCGCGAACAGGTAATGCACGAGATACTACTGGTATTACAACCAGAGTAAGAGTGATAGAAGAAGCGGCTCGTAAATGAGCAGAGAGGAATAACGTAAGAGATACGCAAAATGTATGGGGAAATACATCCGGCGACATCCTCCCTCCTTTGAGAAATGTTGTCCTCAACATTTAAATGCAGCAACACATTAAAACTGAACAAAACACAAACTTATACAACTAATTACACCGTGGCTACAAAATGACAACTCATACAAACACTTCAAAATCCAAGGTACCAGCCACCGCTGGAAAGTATCAACCAACCTAACCTCTTCAGGGTGACAAAGCAACAGGACGACCTGGGGAAGATGGAAAAGCCTGAATACCAAAATTAGTGACCCAATCACCACTCCTTAACCAAGCTGGTGGAACTCTGGTACGGGTAGGCCTCCCCATATCAGAGTTCGGCAACAGCTCAGGATCAACTGTGTCTTCAACAACGGTATCAGAAGCGGAAGATGTGTTGAGCCCTTGTTCAGCTGAAGCAGATGACTGTTCCACAGGGGTTGATGGGATTGCTAAACTGCGTGATGTTCCAGGTGATTCTGTGAAAGCTGGAGATGAATCTTGAAATCCATGTACAGTTCCAACTGTTTCCAACGTAGAATCTCCAGTTCCTGTTACGTCTTATGCTTCAAATGCATCGGTAGCATGTACTGTCGATGCCTCCGGTATAGGAGTGGCTGGTAGCATCACCATCATCTCGCAAACACTTCCTTCATCCGAATCGTTCAGTTCTTGGAATTCCATATTTTCAAGGACATTGACTTTCTCGTTCCTGTTCTTTTGTTTGTCTGTGGCGCTAATGGTTTAACTGGAACTGACACAATAGGAAGAAGCATATTCGGTGCAAAGTCTTCTTAGAACCTTTGCCATCTTCCTGCTGCACAGTGAAAACTGGGATCTCTTCATTAGGTTGATTAACTACAGTGAATACTTCCCGTCCCCCACTTGTTTGCAAGCTTGTGTTTTCCAGTGAGTCCTACTAACCGAATGAGAACTTCGGTCACCACGTTGAAGAGTTGAGTAGCACCTTTGTGTCGTATCTCTGCTTGTGTCGCCGGGCCTGCCTTACGGGCTTCCCTTGGCGCTTTTCGTAAGCAAAGTTCAATCGTTTCCTCAGATTATTAACATACTCCGTTTTTGTGTGATCACCATGAGTGTTGTCTATTCCCAGGAATGCATCAACTGGCAGTCGTGGATGTCGACCAAACATCAGGTAGAAAGGTGAAAATCCTGTACTATCATCATGTTTACGTGGCATTGTAGGCATGTACTAAGCGGAGATACATAACTCTTCCAATCAGCTTTCCTGTCATCCTCGAGAGTTCCAAGCATGTTGAGAAGTGTCTGATTGAATCGCTCACACATTCCATTACCTTGGGGATGATATGGTGTTGTTCGAGTTTTCTGTATTCCAGTGATATGGCAAAGCTCCTTGATAATGTTGCCTCTGAAGTTTCTACCTTGATCGCTGTGTAGTTTGGCAGGAAATCCGTAATGAACCAGGAAATTATCGAAGAGAACTCTTGCTGTTGTCTTGGCGGATTGGTTCTTAGTAGGAATGGCAATGGCGTAGCGTGTAAAATGATCAGTGATGATCAAAATATTTCCAAAACCTCCTTTCGATTCCTCCAATTGCAAGTAGTCCATGCAAACAAGTTCCATTGGGCACGTTGTTTGAATGTTCACTAGTTCAGCAGATCGTTGTGAAGTTGGTGATTTCCTTCTGATACAGTTTCCACATTTTCTGATGTAACTCTCCACATCCTCGTTCATTCCAGGCCAGTAAAACCTGTTGCGGATTAAGTCAAGAGTCACGATCTCTGCCTTGATGTCCTGAGTTGTCATGAATTGCCTTGAGAACCGTTTCCCTTTGATGTCTCGGAAGAATGACCTGACTAAGAACTTCATCCTTGACCTTCACACGCGTCGATAGAGAACTCCATCATTCATAGTCAACTTGTCCCATTCCAGAAGAAGCTTTCCAACTGAAGGAGTCTCAAGTGATCTCAACCTTGAAGTAAGCTTGTGACCTTCCATGAATAGTTGTACAACTCTGGAGATGGTTTGGTCTTTGGATTGTTCCTTCTTCCAACTGTTGATGTTAGCTGACAAAGTTATTGATGGTTCTTTGGGTAAAACTGCATTCTCATCAAAGATAGACTCTCTGCTTTGTTGCAGGTTGTGGTGTGCACATGACAAATGGCCTTGATGCTCGGGATATCAACGTTCCTGGATGCTTCCTGATAGTCATACCGTCGAGACAAACCATCAGCATCTTGGTTTCTTGTTCCTGACGATCGTAATCCTGAAGTCATCACGCTGATAAAGCCGCCAGCCACCGATGACCTGTAGCATCAAGTTTAGCAGTTGTGAGGGCGATCGTTAAAGGGTTGTTGTCTGTTTTGACTTCAAATTGATTCCCATAGAGATATTCGTGGAATTTATCAGTGACAGCCCACTTGAGAGCTAAGAACTCCAGTTTATAATGCGGGGGTAGTTCTTCTCACCTTTCCTAAGAGCTCGACTAGCATAGGCAATAACTCTTAATTTCCCTTGTTGTTTCTGATAAAGAATCGGCCCCAATCTATCTGCACTTGCATCCGTATGTACCTCAAATGGTTGAGTGTAATCGGTAGGCTAGAATCGGTGGTTCTGTCAAGTGTGATATCAAAGTTTCAAAGGCATGTTGGTGCTCCTCTAACCATGTCCACTCGTCCTTACATGTAGTCCGTCTCCGTTTCTTCTTTGGCTGTCCAGCGAGAAGATCATTCATGGGTTTAGCTATCTTGGAAAAGTCTTTGACAAAGCGACGATAGTACCCGGTAAATCCAAGAAATCTTCTTCGTCATCGGTATTCTTTGGAACAGGCCAGGTTTTGAGTGCAGTTGTCTTTTCTGGGTCTGTCTCTATACCATTTACTGATACAATGTGTCCTAGATACTTGATCCTTTCTCTGAACAGTTCACACTTAGATGGTTTCAGCTTGAGTCCATGATCTTTCAAGCGTTGAAACACTGCTTCCAACCTCTTCTTCATGTGTTCTTCAACAGTATCAGAGAATATGATTATGTCATCCAGATATATAAGACATTCTTTTAGATTCAGATCTCCATGCACTTTTCCATCAGTCTCTCTGAAATGTTGCTGGCGCATTGGTGAGACCAAAAGCGGCATCCTGTTACATTCATAAAAACCTAATGGTCCGACAGAAAATGCAGTTTTCTCCTTGTCCTCTTTTTCGAGCTCTACTTGCCAGTATCCCGCTCGAAGATCAAGCTTACTGAACAGTCTAGCACCAGACAAACAATCCAGAGTCTCATCAATCCTTGGAATGGCATCACGAATCCCCGAATTGTCCGTCCATTAATAGCTCTCAGGTCAATGCAAAAGCGTAAAGTGTTGTCATGCTTCCTTACCAGTACCACGTTAGAAGAGTAAGGGCTGTGGGACTCTCTGATAGCTCCACAAGCAAGCATTTCATGTAGATGTTCCCGAACTTCTTCAAATAATCCAGGAGGGATTCGTCTATGTGGCTGTTTGAAAGGGATGTCATCAGTCAGCTTGATTGAGTGCTTCACAGTGGTACAACATCCTAAGTCTGTGATACTTGAAGACATAATAGAGTCCCAGCTGTAGCATCTCTGAAACTTGCTGCTTCTGTGTATCATCAAGTGGACTATCCGACAAATCAAACTTACAACTGCCACTGGAAGAAGTGTCCTGTGGTGATTGAGTAGGTTTGTCTACAGGTACATCAATAGGTACTTGGGTAACAACACCGAACCTGCTGTAGCTGACAGAGTTTAGCCTTCGGGGAATGGTAATAACTTTCGGGCGGATAGGTTGCAGCATCTAACTGGAATCCTTGATGTGTTACCATGTTTACCAACCTCTACCACTTTCGTGGACATATGGAAAGACCTGTCTGTAAATCCGAATCAGCTTCAAGATGTTCTGTGACAGCAGTGTAACTTCCAGGTATATGGCGATACAAGACCCGGTGATGGTGATCATCTGATTAGGTTGAATGGCTATAGGCTTATTCCTAGTTGACTTGACTGTACCCAATACTCCTTGTGACAGATGGAATTCAGAGCTGTTGTCCACTCCTTTGGCACGTCCTTGAAGTATCTTGCAAATCAGACTTTAGGCGGCTTGATGACATTCACTCCAATGCAAAGTGGAACTCTTTGGTTGTACTCTGTGTCCTTGGTGATCAACACTGGTATCAGATATTCAACATCATAAATAGGAATGTAGATAGGAGCCTCAATATAACCTGTGTATGGAATCAAGTTGTCTCCAGCACCCATGATGTCAAGTTCAAACTCTTTTAATGACTTGCGTTCCAATTCAGATAGTGTTGACTGGTAGT